ACATTAACCACGGAGGGTGCCAATTTATTGTGTAACGATATGGAAGCAAGTAGGCAGAAACCCGGGGAGGAACTTACTGCGGGGCAAACATGCAGTGGATTGCTTTGCTATGTCACGTTTGGCTCCCCTTTTGGACGAAAAGGGAATTCGCTTCCAAAAACAAAAAAGTGGGGAGGGGGGGATGCAGCTTTGCCCTTTCCAGCCCCTGATCTCCAGAATTAAGCGGGCATTTTTCTTTCGCCGGGAGAGCCGCCTCTTCCTCGTATATGGCAAGAGCAGATGCTTCCACAGGGACAGACAGAATCACAGCTGAGACTGGAAGCGGGTCCGAGCGGGAGACTGCCAGGGCCCGGTTCAAATCTCTCCTCACCCCAGGGAGCTCTCCCAAGAGCCCTCGGCCCAGCCTCGCTGTGTATCTTCCCTAGAATCAGGTGGTCCAGGAAAGACCACCGTCGGCTCCTTGCAGGAAGGACCGGACAGAAATATAATGAAGACACGCGACGCTTGGAAAGCAGAAAGCCTTCAAGGATAATCTGCGTGCCCTGAGAAGAGTCCTGGATGTTTTTCTTGCAAGACCACGCAATCCGACCAGTGTTTCTGGACTTGCTAATTGCCTGGTTGGTGACACACAACAGAAGGAAAACACGCCACAACAATAATAATTAAACAAGCGGGGCGGCTGAGGAAGGGAGAGGTTCCCAGGCAGCCAAAACACGCCTTAGCTAGCAGATACCACGAGTTTGCCTCCTCCATCTCTGTAGCCAGGAGCCGAGAGGGGGCCGGTGAGCCTCGAAGTTGGTCTCAGTCTCAGACGTCTGCTATGCCAGAAGGGGAGGGGGGCGGGCGGGCATGCCAAAAAAAAAAGGGGGGGGGAGAAATCTTGTCGCGCTAGAAAAATCCCACCGGAGAAGCAGCAAAATTTTTCTGGAGTCGTGTCTCTCCACCATCACCACCGATTTTACTTAAAAAAAAAAAGTTAAATCCCTGGAGTTCTCTCAACAACCGCTAATAACCCCACCGTTTCTTCATGAGAAGACGACCCACCGTTATGGGGTAAATACAGCTGCCCCATTACACGATGTTCTTCTTCTGTTCGACCACGCAGTGGCTCCTGCCATACAGGTGTTTTCATAGTAGGCAAAGCGTACTTTACTGCAAAGTGAGGTGAATTACTTCACTACCTGCTCCCCAAACAAAGCGGATGGTTGTTTAGGACGGCAATACCAATTCTGAAAGGTGGCTCATTTTCGGATGGAAAACGTCAAAGACTGCCTGCTTCTGAGGAGTCCCAACTTGCGCAACCATGGATTGGTTACATGGATTAGGGAGATTTCTGTTCAAATGCTCACCTTAACCCTACCTGGTAGGGTAGCTGGAGACACGGAGGGGGTGCATGGGTGGGAAGATGCGACAGAATTCCCCTAATATTTCCGATTGGGGGTGGTGGTGGTTAAGGGTTTTCAGTGTGAGTTTGCCTTTATTCTCATATAATAGATATACCAGGTTGCTATATTAGCTAGACGGACCGACTATATTCATTGAGAGGCAAGGTGAAGACTCCATCAATTCAGATTGACAGATTTTGCTCTTCCGTGGAATGAGAGCCACTGTAGTGCAGACCTGCAGGGAAGATGCTGGAAAAGCATAGCCAACTCTTTGAATAAAAGCACATCATTATTTCTCAGGGTTACAAGAAATGTACACTCAAAACAATGTCAAGGCTAGATGACAGGCTCCAGGGAAAGTCTTCAATGGCAATGAAACCGTTGCTTCGCTCTGAATCCTGGACAGAGAAAATAAAGCAGGGTTTTCTCCTGTTATCTCAACACGGCTGACCTTGGGGTCTCTAATAGCGATAGGAGTTTTCATTCAGAAACAAGTCGGAGGAGACCTCGCTGGGCGCATCTGGTTGAGATGAGCAGATGCAGTATTTTACTGGAGCGTGTAGCCATTGGCTTGTTGTCCTTGAATCCTCTTGCTGTTCCCACCCACACCATAAACATCTTGGAACCACCACAAAAAAGAAGACAGGGAAATGGGGGGGGGGTCTCGGGGCACAAGAGGATAGGCCCGAAGTAAGTATAAGAAAGGGGCTTTCTCTGTCCTATCATACAGCATTTGCTGTGCTCAGTTTGCCTATGCCTGGGATCCCTTAGTGACAAAACTCGCCCAGTCCCAGAGCTTGCCTACTCCAGTGCCAGTCCTCTTGGATGCAGGAGGCGATACTTCCAGCTACAGGGCTACAGCACGAAGTGGGACCCTTGCCTAAAATGCATCCTTTGAGGTCAGGACACCCACGCTTCACTCCCTCCTTGTGCTGGCCTCCCACGCGGATTAGAAACCCAGTAGAACTAATTAGCCATCTGCAAATAGGAAGTGCAAGATCAACTCATGCATATTAATATTCACTAGATGAAGCGTCCACTGCTTAGTGAATATAAATTGGCAACTAAAAAAAAAAACAACCCACCAATCCCCCACGCTCTAAGGCCCACACTCTCTTCTTTCATCCCATTTTGATCCTAAAGCCTCCTAATGGCCAAAAGCAAATTAGGCCACCAACAAAGAAATCAAATCTCCACTTTAGCTTCATTCTCAGTCTGTAAACAGATTACTTTACGAGGCTGCTTTGCGTGGAGCTTGGTACAGTTATACCCTTCTAAACTACAACTCTCAGAAGCCATCACCCCACATGAAGGGGATAGTCTGAGTCCCAAACAGCCCCTGGGCAGAACTGTGTCCAGACCCTGGCCTCCCTCTTTTGAGTTGACTGAGGTCTTCCATGAGTCCCAAGGGAGGACTTGAGAAGCCTTATATTTGCTCATGAGCTCAGCAGCTCTTGAAGAGGCTTCTCTCAGCAAGACAGTCAGGATTCCCCCCCCCCAAAAAAAAACAAAATTTAAACTTGCACCGAAATAGAAACCAAGGCAGCCCCACCCTCACCACTCTGGCTCCAATGATGGAGAAGCTGCTGAACCAGCCATGGTGGCTCAGTTCTGGCCTTCTCCATGAACTCCTCTACCAAGGAAATAAACAGATGGTTATCCTGCAAGGAAAATGCATGGTTACCTTCCACCCTGAAAACAGGGAGACATCTTTGCACCTCACACAGCAACAAACAAAGCAAAGCCAAGTCTCTATTTACAAAGTATTATATATATTTCAATTCACATAAAAATCAGGTACTGTATTAGACATTCAACATTGGCAGAAGACACCTACTTAAGATTCTGAGACTGTTAGTTCAGAGCAATGATTATAAGTATTTTTTTTCCTTTTAACAAATTTTTAAAGAGAATTAAATAACTCACACGCACATACATTCAATATATGTAACTATGTACACACACATATACACCCACATGTTTGTCTAGCTTTTATATACCCATGTGTGTGTGTCCAGAAATACACAGCGTAAGTGGCACATGCCACCTCTGACACCTGAGGAAGTAGGGACACCACTAATGCTCTCTTCTAACCAGCAGGTTTTTCTCCTGGCCATGATCCTCTTCCACTCTCCAGCCTCTGCTAACAAGACCACAGAACCTTTGTCAAGATACTTCCGCTGACATACATCTCTCCATCCCTACCCACCCCCACTCTGACAGACGCACACCTTTTTTGTGTAAGAGAACAAGACATCTGCAACTTGTTATGCAACTTCTTTGAACTGCTGGAAATTCAAAATATTGGCTTTATTTTAAGGACAGAGAGAACCAGGGGGCGGGGGGGGACCTTTCCTTCATAAAAGGAAGCTTTACAGAAAGAAAGTATTCCATTCCACACAAGAAATTTGTTCCTTCCAAATGAAATGCCCACCTTGGAGACAAAAGCCTCCAAGGAATAAATGGACAAAGTTAAGTGGGTTAAGAAGCAACTATTTCTAGTTGAGCGCAGGAAGGGCAAAGGTCCTCATGTTTCTTTTTACATCCACCTGCTTCCCTCCACACCACTTCTCATTATGACACATGTGCTTTCATCCCGTTTTCAGTCCAAACATTCGAAAATGTTTTAAAAGGGTCCAATGCGTAGTCCATTCAGAGAAAGATAGAGAAAACTACTCGCCCTCACCCCACTGGGCGAGGCCCTTAGGGGCTACTAGGCAGATTTGTGCTTTTTGAACCAACAAGAGATGCTTAAATCAATATCTATTGGAACAGCATAGCACCTGCTAAACATAAATGAAAACAGCCCGGCCAGTGATCCCTACTCCTTCTGCATTCCCCATTTTACTGCAAGAATTGATAAACAAATCTGCCTTCCCATAAAGGAAAACAGTGCTCAGCAAGATGTTTTAAATTCTTTAGATTTCACATATCACTTTCTACAAGAGAGCAGAAAAAGACTGGGGGCTATATTTTCCATAAAAACTGGTCCTTTTTAAAAAAATCCCAGACATAAAAACTTCATGAGAGGATGTGGGGGTGGAGAAACAGAGGGCACTTCTTTCCTGAAAGTATAAGAGAAAGAACTTAATGTGCAAGAGCAGCTTGCTTTCAAACAGCTCCTGCCCCACGAGTCAACTGGCTTTCAAGGAGGAGCTGTTCTCTCTGCATCCCTAATGAGAGACTTATGTTTATGAAGAGGATCCAGCTTTCATACAAGCCTTTAAGATTCTTCCAATGACCTGGAAACAAACTGTATTCAAGGGAGGTAGGGAAGGGAGAGATCCACTTTCAGCATAACAGCAGGAGTACCTAAAATGTAAATAGTGAAATACTTCCCTCCCCAACTTTTCTGGCATGTAAAGAATGTAAACAGATTTTCTTTTTGGAGTGAGCAGGGAAAGACTAAGGAAAAGTTTTGTGGGGGGGGGAGCAGGAGGAGGCAGAGAAAGTTAAACTAAACTACCAGCTCACTTCCCTTTCCCCATGACAAAACAATCCTTATATTAAAGTGCATGACAGCAGCTACACCTTCTCGTAATCTTAAAAACACACATCTCTTTTTCACTTGCAAAGAAAAGGTCATTCAAGTTAATACTTCTCTGCTAAAACATCTTTCAACTGTTTTTAATGGACACTTTTTAAACCAACAAACATTTTTCCCCAACTGGAGCAAAACAAAAGCAAGACAATACTGTAAAGTCAAGTGCTTACTTCATCAGCTGTCCAGCTTGAACAGTTGTTTATACAGCACACTTGATTGTACAAAGCAACACCTTATAATATAAGAATCAAACACTAGAGCCTTTCCTCTTTTTTGAAGTCCAGAGGAACTCACAACATCCCCTATTTGCGCCCTCAGCATCATCTTTGGGGGAAGGGAAGGGAACAAGTGGAAAAACTAAGTCAAGATGTTATAATTAGCTAATAAGGTCACTATCTACACCTGCTCTTGCAACTGAGGCAAGAGATACATCAGTTCTGTTTTACTGTCCTTCTCCAAGAGCCTTAAATTAAAAAAAAACTCAACAACTTAAGAGTTGAAATATATATATATATGTATATAGATATATATGTATTTTTTTAAATAACATATTTACATCTAATAGAAAATATAACTCTAGAGATAATCTTTTCAACCAAAATTAAAATTGGTGACGAAGGGGGAAGGAAGGAATCAAAGCATGAATTAAGGACAGATTTTTCAATCCTGCCCAAGAAAAAAAAGAAAATCCAAAGCCAGCCAACCTCTATCCAAACCCATTAAATGTTTCCTCTTCTCCAAGGGCATTCACCGCTTTTCCTTAAAGAATCCTTGGTCTGTGCTGCTCTCCTTAATAGTAACTGTCAAGAAATTTGATGTCACATCAGTCACAACTACTTTCTCCAGGTTGTTGAGAGATGGGCTCCAAGCTTCTTCTTCTGGGTCCCCAAGGATCCTGGAGACAGGGATGCGGGCAATGAGGGAAGGCCTGCCAGCCTGTGGTCCTATAGTATCACCATATAAGCTTCCTTGGTTTGCAGAACTGTGCAAGATTTTAGGGGCAGCCAAGTCCAAACCACTTTGCCCTTTGGGATCCAGGAAATCTGCCCTGTGCTTGGTTAGCCTAGGAGGGTAAGTCTCAGGGGCAGTCAGCTTAATGCCAGCTTCTGCTCTGGGGCTGGGCACAGCGCTGGGTAACTCAGGCTCCCGCCTTCGGGCTAACTGGATCACACTGTGTCCAGAACTGAACTTGGATGCAGCAGGATTGGCCACCTCTTCCAATTTTCTGGCTTTCAGATAATCGACCACCACCTTGTCCCCTGGTTCCATCGATTTCCTTTTAGAAGCAGCTTCCGCTGTTTCACCGAGGTCCTTATAGAGCTCTTTCCTCGGCTTTGGGCCTCGCTTTTTAAAGGCTCCTTCAGATCGGTCTTCTTCTGCCCCAACAACCCTGTTTTCCTGGATCGTCTCCACTCGAGAACTGTTGGCAGTAGCACTGGTAGAGCTGCTCTGAGGGGGCAGTGGAATCTGCCTGAGTCCTTCTCTAGCACGGGAAGTAGAGCCTAGTTCCTGGGGGGATCTTCCAGGGTAAGGCACCCGGATTCCCCTAGCGGAGTCACTACGGAATTCATAGGTTTTGGCTTTGGCTTTTGCCTGGGCCTGCAAAACAGATCAAGGAGCTGGATTGATGGAGTACTTTGCCACAGCAGTTTCATCAGTGCAAAGTGAAAAAGCAATCATGGACTCCCTCTCGCTCTTGCTCACAAGCATACACACATATACACAACAGAGAGAGAGCGTGCAATACAAGACTTCATCTTTAGCAATGCTGCCTTTCAAACTAACAACTGCTTCCTGTTGCATGTAGAAACAGACTATAGTACCACAGAAAGTGTCATTTCTTTCTTTCTTTCCTTACCTTTAACAAGAAGGTTTTAGGCTTGGGACCTCGTTTCTTAGGACCATAAAGTTCCATTTCTCTTTCCCTAAAGTAGTTTTTTTAAAGAAAACACAAGCACACATTAAAAGAAACAAAATTCAGTAGTTCTCCAAAACACTGTGCTACAGCTGCAAATATTATGATATGCTCCCCCACTATACACACACACCATACCTTTCCTCAAAAGCTGCAAGCAGGCGAGCATCTAGAATGTTTTCTTCAGGCTCCCACGTGCTATATCTACCAAAAGATGGGAGATTAAAAAAAAAGAAGGTAGGTATTTTTAAAATACACTGTATATTTGCCAAGATGTAAAAGGGCTTAAAAGATTATCTAGTCTGCCCACTTAGGCAGGAAATCACTCCCCCAGTTTTATTAAATACTAAAACAAGTCTACTATCATCGAAATATTTACTAGACTGCATGGGCACTGACAGTTACTTACTTCTGAGACCACCCCTTCCATTTTACAAGATATTCCATCCGACCCTGCAGATGTCAAGAAGACAAGAAAAATTAACATGCATTTTAGAAGACGAAGGGGTGGGGAAGAGATGAAGACTAAAATAATAAAGCAAAATTTGCCTGCTAGAGCATGTAAAACCAAAGTTGCCCTCAAATGCATGCGTCAAATAAAAAAATGCGAGCGGTGAAAAGCGTGCCAGAAATATGCACATGCGAACTGCAAGGACAGGGGGAAAAATCCATCCAAGAAAAGGGGGCGTGCTGCAGAACGTAATGAAATATGCATGCAGAAATGCGTGCAGGAAAATATACATGCAGCTCAAACGTGCATGCATTTAAAGGGGAGGGCGGCGGAGCAGAGTCTTTCGATGGTGGCAATCTGCACGGCGCAAGCAGAAAAGGGGGAGCGGCAGGCAAGCAGGCTCCGAAGTACTGCTGCAGAAAG